GGTGCCACTTCCAGTGGTGGGGGCTTCTCAGTCCATCCTGCACCTTCCTCTCTTCAATTATTTAAGCAGAAACAACCCTTAAACTTGCTTCCCGAAAGTCTGGCTTTTGTGTCAACTTTTTAATCAGAGAGGGGTCAGAGTGAAGAATGCCCAGCGCTAATAGATAACCGCTGTCTCATCGCTCACCCTTTTTTTTTTTTTAAACAGATATTTCATGGCTATTGTTAATGCACATTTTTCACGGAGTAATTTTCCAAGCCTTAGCCTGTAACACATCCGAATGACAAATGCTCTTGATTTGGACTGTACCGTCAGCTGCAATGTCACATCAGACATGTTCCCAATGCCTGCTCCAGACAGGCCATCCAGCTTTATGATAGCTCTGTCTCAGTGATCACTACTGAACCTTAGGAATCTAGAGGCTTTTCAAGTTTAATTGAATAAAATTCTTTGCAATATAAATTCTTCATGAATGCTGTATAAATCAGTTCCAGCGTGGATTTATAGTACTTTCTTTTTTTTCCAGCTGGGGGGGAAGAAATCTCACTCTTGTTCTGGGCCCAAAGCTAGTATTGTTTTGATTGCAAGGAGAAATAAATATAGCTACTACGCTTTACCATGACGTAGAGATTAAATTTATTAGGGTGCACTCGGCTTCCAGCTCCCTCCCCCTCCCTTTCTACCCAACGATGGCTGTGCCGTTGTTGCTGCGGGGCTGAAGCAGAGGGAAGCTGCTGTCTGGGGTGACCCTGTTTGGGTTAAGCAGTGGGCCAAGGCTTGAATTTAGGGGTGAGCAGAGTCAGGCTGAGCGTGGGCCCAGCCACACGAGCTGCTGCGGCTGGCTCGTGGGCAGCCACGCTTGGCCCTTTGAGAGTTCGTGGGGCCCAGCGTTTGGCCTGTGTATAGCATGCGGCGGTCTCGAAGGGACCTTTCTGTCCTTGATGCCATCCCCAAGGCACGGGGTGGTTGTCAAAGGGACCTTTCTGTCCCTGATGCCGGTGTCAGGGGGACCTTTCTGTCCCCAGGGCACACAGGGGAGCTGCTGGCCTTCACGCTGCAGCAAGGCTCAGACCCTCAGGCCCCGGCGTGCCCTCTGCGCTGAGCTGGGAGCAGAACCCAGCGGTGGGGGGACGCTGGGGCCGAAGCAGGGACCGAGTTTAGCGAAGCAATTCCAGTGTGGCCACGCTAACGACCACAGAGCAGGGTGCGATAACGCACGACAGCCCCGTGAGACGGGCAGGAGAGCAGCGTCACTCCAATGAAATACAGGCGTTAAAACAAATAAAGCTCTGTTGCTCTGGGTGAGCATTTGGGGGTTTTAAGTCCTTTGTCTGCACCCAGCAAATCCAGCCGTACAGCATAGGGATTCTGGTGCCTGCACCTCATTAATATAACGGGAGGAAGGCAGATGCTTTGTCCGTACTGACCGTATGCAGCGCCCAGATACATTCCTGCCTCACAGGGTTCCTTATTTATGATTACGTCGGCGCTGCCAGCGCAGACATATGTTGCTAAGGGTCGTTTATTCTTGTTTGTAAAATGTATGGCTGCTCCTAGCTTACACACTGTCAAAACTGGAAGAACTGGCCCCAAAATCTCTTGCTGCATGATTGGATCAGACGCCTGTACATCTGTTAACGCTGTAGGAGCTGTAAAATGAAATAAGTTTCACTATAACTCAAGCACCTCTATTACCGCCACAACGTGTGAGCGGCAGAGCCGGCTGCTGCTCTTGCAGAAACGACACAAACATACATTTTGCCAAGTCGTATGTAAATTCGTACGAGGCAGCGTTTCCTCCGCTGGTGCACAGAAGGAAGGACCGGTACGCGTGTGCCCTCACCTCGACAGCCCCGGGGTGATGCTGCATCTGCAGGGCGAGTTTTGGGGTGCACAGCCCCCAGCAGTGAGGAGCCAGCAGCAGCCCTGCGCTCCTCCTCTCAAGCTGGAGGAGCAGAAGGGACCCACATCTGCCATCAGATCAAGTCCTCTGCAGGTGCAGGCCCCCAAAATACCCATTTTGCCTGGAAGTGGTCAAAGAAAAAACGCCCACCGCCCAAACCGTGCGCTACAGCAAGGCAAGACCTGGCTGGAAAGGGGTGGTTACGGCACCGCAGGGCAAGAGCCGCCGTCCCTGCATCAGACAGGTGCAGATGGAGTGAAAGAGCGGTCCTGGTCCCTCAGCTCGGTGCTCCAACCACCCCAGGGTGAAGGTGAAGCCGCACAGGGTCACTATCAAAGAACCTGACCTCAGAAACAGCCGTAAAAGAACACTTCCGAGTAGCCAGTGTGCCACTCACCCCAGAGCCAGCGATGCCAAGCCAGTGCCAGGTAGGTCCAACCCCCCAGACAGGTCACTGAGGCGCTGCAGGAGCTGCTGCCGCCTCGCTGAGCCTGAGCAAACACAAAACAGGCTGCAGGAATACCTGATCTCGCTCTGCTCAGGGATGCGGAGACCAGGACCCGGCATATCCTCCGCCCTCTGCCCAAATGCGCAACCAGCCCCAGCACGGGACAAGACGATGGGAAAAATGGTGGGATCAAACGGAGGGATCAGCAGTCTGCGAGTCAGGGGCTTGCAGAGTCTGTAGGAGCAGAAGAGGAGCAGCAAGAAGAGCTGTCAGCCCCCAAAGACGGCTGTGCCGGTCTGCCCACACAGCAGCC